CGCGGTTCGCCGTCCCGGGCCAATGGGGGCGGCGGGAAACCGCAGCCAGCACATCCCTCGGCCCGCGCCGCTTCCCGCCGCCCCCATTGGCCCGGGACGGCGAACCGCGGCCAGTAGGGGCCACGATCAGCCAAACCTGCCACGTCAGCAAGTAAATAAACTGGCCCGGCCTGCTAGGGTACTTACCCTGGCGAGCCGTGTGCCGAACGTTGCCGACCCCGGAGTTAGATCTTTTAAACTATTTCCTAATTTCTTTAGAAAAGCATTCCTTGAGCAATTTAAACCCAAAATGATCTCAATTTTTGATTATCCAGTTCAAGGAAAATCTTTCACTGCGAGAGGATATAACAGGATGATCGAATAAATATATTCTCTCTCTCATATCTATGAAACCTTAGTACGTTGAAACTGAACTCAGGGATTTAATAAGGACAAAGACAGGTGCTCTCAGGCACTACGTTAGTGAGAGAACATCTGCATAATCACATATTGTGTAGATAGGGCAACAATCACTTAAAAAGCAGCAATGAATAAAAATATCAAGTTTATATGATCTTGAAACCAAATGACTATTCCAACAAACTCAGCATCTTTAATAAAATCTGTCAGCCTCTAAAGGTGTAAATAAAGTGAAATGTCTGGCCAAAAATAACCTGAAAATGAACGGTTGACATTAGTGACTTCCCTAGATTAAAAGGAATTGATGCTCAGTTTGTGGAACAAACTGGATATTAACAGAGAAACCACCAGGGCAGATAATTTTTAAACTAGTGATCTTACATGTGTGAAAGACAGAATCAATCTGGAAACATTTTTAATTCAAACAATTGAATACAGCTCTATCAGGTGTAACAAACTGTACTCTTTTCTTAAATTAACTCTACTACATATTATTTTAACAGGATGTTCAATATTATGTGCTTATTTCAAGAATTTTATCACCATTTTATTTACATTGTTAACCACTTTAAAAGAAAGATGAAAACAAGTTTGTTTGTTAAAATAGGCACCTTAATCTCTTTAGAAAATGTAGACACCTGGTGAAAAGTATAATTGGATGCAACATCTCTGAAGTAAATGCACATGTCCTCATAGACTCATAGACTCATAGACTC